CCCAATGTTTTAAGTATGCTATATAAATCTATAGTCAGAAGCCACTTCGACTACAGTTGTTTAGCCTACTCAAATAGTAGTTGTGTAAAAAAACTAGACATAATTCAAAACAAAGCTCTGCGAATTATTTCTGGGGCTATGTGTTCAACTCCCATACGAGCTATGGAAGTTGAAACCAAAATAATGCCACTGTGTCTTAGAAGACTTTTGCTAATAGAGAGATATTTACTAAAGCTGTTATCTGGTAATGATAATGTTCTCAAAAAAATAGTACCTTTTCCTGTACAATGCTCAGCCCAGCAGACTTCGGGAGGTGAGCTTTTACGAGGTTCTTTCCCAATTCTGCCTCTCATTGTACTGCAAATGAATGAAGATTTTAAAAATGTAATTAAACAATCAAAGTGGACATGCTACTCATACCCATATTCCTGTATTATATTTGAGACCAATATTGTTACTAAAATTTTTTTTAATAATAGTGAATTGTTAAGTTTTCTTTCCAACAATAACTACTATACTTTGTATACAGATGGTAGTAAAAGTGAACTCTTTGTGCGCAGTGCTGTTTATGATCCCCAATCTAAGTTTGGTCAAAGCTTTCTTCTGGACCCTAAATGCAGTGTTTTCACTGCAGAGGTATATGCGGCCCTCGAAGCTCTGAAGAGGATCGCACGTATAAATAGTTTTAATAACTTTTTAATTTTAACAGACAGTTTAAGTATGGTCCAAAGTTTAACCAATCTCAGATTTGACTTTAAAAAAAACTATATTTTGTATAATATTAAAAAATTGTTATTTAGTTATGCACAAAAGGGTATACAGGTCTCTTTCATGTGGATTCCATCACATAGGGACATAACAGGAAATGAGATAGTAGATAAAATTGCACGTGATGGAACCAACATGTTGGATGTTAGCTCCATAGTAAAAGTACCTTTGACTGACTGTTATCAAACTATTGACAACCAGGTCAATAATTTATGGGTCGAATTTTGGAAACAAGACCAAGAACAGAAGGGTAAATGGTATGGAAACGTTCAAGCAAATCTACCTGTAGCACCATGGTATAACAAACTGAAAATGGCCGGTCGGGACTTTATTACGACTATAAACAGACTGCGTTTTGGTCACTCGACCGTCCCAGCCCACCTGGCTCGGTTGGGAATAGTGGAGAGCAGCTGCTGCACCTTCTGCAATGATTCGGTTGGTGATATCGAACATTTCATATTTAAATGTGAGTGCTTTTCGTTTGACAGACTGATTCTTGTGAGTGAAATTAGTGACTTAGTGCAAAATCAAGTGACAGTGCAAGATCCCTCCCGCCGCCTGAGTGATATGTTAAAAAATAGATCCTATTACGTGCCTCTATATAAATTCATCAAAAATACAGTGGGGAAATTATAATAAACCGAATAAAAATACTTAAGACTTGGCCTAAAGGTCTAGATACCAGGCCATAAACTACAAAAAAAAAAAAAAAAGATTTTATGATAATTTTATGATACCAACAACCATCCTTTCAACTAGTTTAGACGCAAAAAACATGTTAGACCTGAATCTCACAATCGTATCATATATTAATATAATCGATTTCGTGAACACAAAATAGACTACCCATGTTAGAAACGCAACTAAGTTCTCTCTGATTGTCAATAGATGGTTCATCGATTTTGATCTGAAACATTATAAAAACGGCCACAATACGACCCGAGGCACGATAAAGTGATTCTCTTGCAAGACAATGATGCTCGGGCATACCTTGCGAAAACCGTTAAAATACTTGAAAACATTCAGAGGAGATGCCATACCCTACCCGCCATATACTCCAGATGTTATGTCATCTGATTATTGGGTATCTGTTTGAAGGTCTGACTGACTAGCAGTTCTCATATGCCCTGCCCTGGTGAAACTGGAAAGGCCTACAGGCCACCAGTAATCCTTCAATCATATAAAAAATGCACACATCAAAGGGTAACTAAATCCGTGGATAGCCTCAGAAGTCAAACTCTATCATCAAGGATTTAAAAATCTACTAAAATTAATTGTAATGCCATTATTAGACACTACACTTTATTCAACTTGTCCAAATACTAAAGGGAGTTGTGGCACATTGCTGTGTTCTTGTGAACATATTTAGCAGATGGTTTACTGGATGTTTAGCTAGAGATAAACTTATACTTTACAACAGAAATACTGCCTACATAATCACTTTTTAGTAACCAAGATATATTTTTTCAGATTGAGTATATTCACTGTATAAAATTTCCTGGCACAGCCATGGCCATTTTTATCTGAGGCAGATACTGTAACACATGCTAATACTCTCCAGGTTAGAGCCCATTTATCAGTCATGGCTCGATTGTCCATGAAGGAAATTGGTGTATATACGGAACTATCAAGACTTGCTTTATAGTAGCTATAAATAATAAAAGCACACATAACATTATGACTATATTACAACATATATTTTGAAACTGCATTCATTTTACATAATCATAAGAAGAGATATTGTAATAAAAAATAAATTATATTAAATTTATAGCCTGGTTATCCTTTACATACTTCTCGATGCACTGTGGAGAGTGAGATGAGTACTGCCACCATGACTTGGAATGATGTCAAGGAGCAAGGTCAAATGGAGACAACTTGTAAGGGCCCTATGTACCAGTGGGGTAGCCTAGGATTACCACAATCAGATGAAAATCATTAGAAAAAGGAAGAGCAAGTCATAATAAAGTAATATATTTTGTAAGACCATTTGTGTTCTGTTGTATGCTAAATCCTGTGTGCCTTAGATTTTGAAAAGAATTGTTAAAATGTATCAAAATTTAGACCATTTTGGTAATTTTCAATGTAAATCAATATTTATTTTAATGAATAGGTTCAGGTTGTTGTGTAAGCAGCAGGCCAAATCTCTTCTTGATTATTATTCTGTGTCTTGAGTATTTGTCTTCAGGAGAAAAACGAGCTGCAATAAAAACAATTGGATTATTGAAGTAAATTAGTCTGTGTTATTTTGTAGATGCGAGATTGTTTTTTGTTTTTTTTTTAAATTTGATTTCATTAGCTTGACCTTGAGCATGTATCAGATGGAATCTTGAATTGTAATTTTCACCATCTTCAATAATTAATACATGATAAGATTGTGAGATTCAGGGATAACGTCTAACATGATTTTTTGGGATAAGAGGACGATTGTTGGCTGAAAACCTTTCAAGGCTTGTCAAGGTGGTTGTTATCCAACGTAAACAATCAGTTTTGATGGTTGACAAAAATGACATTATGTTAAAAGCAGTCAATAATTTTATTACTTTGGCCTAATAAATACCAGTACAGGATTAAAGGTAATTGAAGCAAATTGTTTTTAGTTCATAAACCATATTATTGTCTTCGTCTTTTATATTAACTAGATTACATATATCTCAAGCATTTACAGCTTATTTCCACTATAAAACACTGTTATGCATTACCTATTAGGAAAACAGACATAACCTTCTAACTTTTGAAAACAAACGATTAATCACTAATAAACCATACTTGATGACGTTATTTACCTGGATGTGCTGACAATGTTGGTTTTCCAAATGGGTCGATCGTCTGAGAAAGTAAAAAGATTATTTATAGAATAATTATTCTTTAACCACATGTTGACGAGGTTACAGAACAATACTTACCGCTAATGTGTACTCTCTATCGCCTTTATCGTTTAAGTAATACCTGAGATACATTTTAATGTTATTAAAAATGCAAATAACAAAAACTACAACATCTAATTTAGCGCAATTTTATTTGTAAGTAGGTAATCCAGTAATTCCTCGTGTTTACTGTTCAGTGTTTTTGTGTCTTTGAGTCAGTTTGAGTTTAATTAAATGACAAATGTATAATCTATACTCTATTTTTTTTTTATTTTTTTTAATTTATTGAAAGCATTGGCAACACGGCCATCAGCTTAAACTAATTTTACAAAAAAATAGTACATGAACTAGAACTTACAATAAAAACACAAATAAAAGAAACAAACCAAACCAAGAAACAATTGCAAATCATTGAAAACAACAAATTAATGACAAAATCAATTGCAAGAACTTACTATAAAAAAAAATAAAAAATTACAAGTTTTCTTTCAACAAACAACAAAAAAAGAACATGAGTCGTTATAAAAAATAATTAAACTTGCACATAAGCAGGAGACCTATGATACATTCATGAATTATACATTCATAGTCGTTCTATAGTGTGAAGTACAAAATTATACACTATTGAGAATAGTTGTGGAAGTTTTAAAATACCTTGAATGGAATTAGGAATAGATTTTAAGCCTGTGTCTTTACATAATGCATTAAACAATAATCTCTGTTGATTGAATTCAGGACAATTAAAAAAAATATGATCTAGATCACACATGCCAGAGTTACAATAAGTACATGCAGCTGATTCACTTAACTTTAATCTAAAAAGATGCGCAGGAAAATGGCCGT